CGGAGGGAAAAGGGGAGCTGGGCTGCCCGCGGGGCGGCCGGTAACGGCAGGGGTACGGCCACCTTCTGCCTTCGTCCTTAGCCGGAGCTGACCGCCGTTCCGTGGGGAGCCGTTTCCTCATCCCACGAAAATTGCGCAATTTCCAGTTTTGTTCTTGATCCAAAATGAGTTTAAAAGAGCTGTAAAATAGTGAAGTTAAACAAGTAAAATGATTATGGCACCATGCTGCGCTTTAAGGTCAAGCTTTAAGACAGCACGAGTTTAAATTGTGGTCTGAAAAAGAGTAGTTGTAGTTAAAATATTCTGACTGTTTACAAATTTTCTGGAGATTTTTTTTTTTCTAGTTGAGAAATCCAGCAAAACTATTTCTTTCCAGTGGAAAGCTTTCAAATTTCACTGAACCTGTGTTGTTGAAGGAAAATAGATTTTGTCAAAAATTCCCAATTAGTTGTTCTGCTAACTCATGTGGAAATTACCTTATCTGCAGCTAAGCTGAATTAGAAGCACACTTTTTTTTTTTCCTTCTTCTCCATGGAGACAAAAGCCAGAGCTCGACCGGCTCTAAGAATTAAGAAGTCGGCGGTGGCCGGCTGGTGGCTGTCGCTGCTTAGGCTGCGGCACCCTGACGGGGTGGGGAGCACTCCTCATGCTTTCGTTTAGCACAGAGATTCGCCTGAATCTCCCCCAATTCTGCTTTAAGATAACATGTTGTAGGCTGTTGCGACGCAATCCCTGGAGAAACAGTTGCAGCAGTAAGATGCTGTTTTTCTCCCTCCCACCAGACGTTCCTGCCTGTATTTCACCCGATGACCAGCTCACGTAAGTGCTCTCCGTCCACGCCAGTGCACAGACAGCCATGGCAGCAAACTGGCTGCTGCAGGTACCCTTGCTTTATTTTTTTGCTGATATTGCTGCATTCTCAAGTGCTGCTGATTTTATAAACCACTGTCTTCTTATTTGAACCTGGCTCCCCATGGCAGGGTGGGTTTTACGTCTTTCTAGCTAACGTGGTACTTGTTGAATGGTGTGGGGACAGAGGGCTGGTGTCCGTGTCTCTTCCCCCTCCCAGCGGGGCCCTGGCTACCTCTGGGAGATGAGGCCGTGTTTTCCTGCCGGTCGTAAGCATGCCCTTGCCCCTTACTGTGGACAATGCCACTGCTGCTTTCCATTATCACTCGCTACCACCGCCTCTTCTGCATGACTCAACAAAACTCCCCTGACAGCTATTTCTATCCAAGTTAGTGAGGTCGGACATATTATTCATGACACTTTCTTCCTCTCTGGTGGGGCTTTGGCCAGACTGGGACCTGCCGTTGAACCTCCAGCACACAGACTTTCCGTCAGAGTGAGACTCTTGCAGGGAACAGATTGAGAGAGTAGCTCCCAATGGTTCCCCTGCCTTGCAACATCCTTTAAGCATCCTATGGTGCCTCTCTGCAACTCGCTCAGGTTTTACCAGGCTCCCAGGCCTGGACGCCCAAAAGCATCCATGTGTGCTGCAACTGGATCCCACCAGCGCTGCTGTCCTAGTGCCCTGGGGAAGGGGCTGTGGCATGTGTCATACCTGCAGTGGGACAGTGCCACTGCTGCCAGCAGTCCCGGTCCTAGCAGCACGTCAAGAAGTATCTCTAGGTATTCTGGTTTCCTCAGAGCTTGAACCCACAAGCAGCTCCAGGCTCCTGGTCCATGTTTCCATCTTTAAAGCACTGGTGGGCTCCAGGTGGGCCTAAGGGAGCATCTTCCCAGTAAGATGGGGACACCACGTCACCCCATGAGGCTGGAAGTCAGCATCTTGCGTTACTGTCTCTGTGGGAGGTCAGCTGATAGGAGTAGTTTCTTGCAGGTCACCACCTCCCACAGCCTGTTTCTTAGTATCTTTCCTGTGGTAAGATCACTGACTCCACCAATAAACTGGAAAGAGGAAGGGCAATTTCACTGAAGGAAAGGCAGTCCTCTGCAGCGAGACAGCCGCCTGGTTTTGAGGGTGGCCTCTACCAGGCAGCACCAACCTTTGCAGCTCTAGTGGGGAGCAGAGACTCCCAGACACACACACAGTGTGTCCATTTGTACCCTCCCGGATGTTGCTGGAGCTGGCCCCGGTGCAGAAATTGCCTTGTTACTGAGCTGTGCTGGAGGGAGGGCCGAGACGTCGGCATCACATGACAGCATGCCACCAGCGGGCTTTGCGTCAGCACAGCTCAGCACTGTCAGATCCTCCCAGGCAAAAGGATGTGGTTCTTGACAGTCACTCGGTGAGTGTGCAATGGGAAGGGCACTGAGTTTCCAGAGGCTTGAGGGGATGCTGGACAAGTTCATGGAAAGGAAATCCATGGAAGTTACAAAATACGAAGCTGCCTTTTCTGACTCAGGAAGTCACAAGCAGCTGGGAGCTGGGGCAGTCCACGGGGGAGGAGGCCCACATGCTCGTTCTGTTCTCAGACTTCATGGGTCTTCACTTTGGCCCCTATCAGAGTCACAGTACTGGATCACGTGAACCTTTGGACATCCAGGACTGTTTTTACAATACCTCCACTGTCACCCTCTTTGGCCTCTCTTTGCATAATGAGCAGCTTTGGCTGTGGAGTGGGAAAGGGACATATGTAGGACACCCTCTTACGTTCCTCCCAGGGCAGCTCCTCCAGCCAGTCTGGGCTGCTCTGCACTCCCTGTCCTGGCACAATCCTGCAAGAAGCACCAAGCTGCCTGTCACTGCCCTGAAGGGCGCCAGCTCACCCAGGAGCACGGCCCAGCTGAATACAGAACGGCTCTCCCTGAGGATCTGGTCTCTGTTGCTCTTTTTTGCATCACCCTCTTGTCTGGTCTTTAGCCAGGTGAACAGTTGCAGTTTTGCCCATGCCTCCAGGCCAGACCTTTGGACTCAGACGCTGTGTCCAGGAAAACGCCAGCAAGCTCTCTTCACTGCTGCTACGACCATCACTTTTTGTCCTCTTGACTTGAGACTCTGCCTCTCAATATGTCTGCTGCCCCTCTGTTCAGGAGGGAGCCCACAGTGGCCTGCTCTCAGCGTAAGTTGAGCCAGTTTAATTCAATGCTTAGCTTTATCCCAGCAGCAAGCTGTGTGTGCAGATAAGCCCTGACCCAGGAGCAGGTCTTCTCTTTGCCCTCCTGTGAGGCTGTGTTGCCACCCTGAGCTTTCCCCAGACTAGCCTACTGCAGCCTCTTCTAGCTGTATCCCTAGGAGACATGTTTGCCAGAAGGGCAGGGATTCATGTGGTCACATTCTTCCAGGTGTCTTTTCCCTGCTCCTTGCCTGCTCTCATATGATCTTGCCCGCGGTACAGCACACGCAGACAAATCAGACAAGCAGCGCACTGCTTCACTTTCTCCCTGCTGTGGCTCTCCAGCCCCTGAGTAGGTTCAGAAAGGGAAGCCTTCTTCCCGAGCTGGGAATCCCCGTCCTCACCCGTCTTCCCCAGGAGAGACTCTGACACGGAAGTGGAAGGGGCATTTTTAGCGCTTACCCTACGTTTGTTTCAAGGATTAAGCTAAGAAGAGGAACTGACATCAAAAGACGAATGGCTTTGGTTTTAAAAGGAAGCCTTTTTTTTCTCTGCTACTCAGTCATTGCAAAATTCTGCAAAAAGGACACTGGTAGAAATCACCTTTTATAGAAGGCAGCAGGTTTTAGTAGATTGGGGACAGGACATCAGAAATCTCTGGACACTGTTCCCTGCACTGGCACTGGTTTCTCATGGGCTTGGCCAGCTCCTATTTTGATCTCACATCCGAATAAGGGGACAGGGTGCTACCAATCACCTCTGTCTCCAGCTCTGGTCACTGTTACCAGCAACTGCAGGTGATGGTGAGTGAAACCTGTTGTAGTACCACCTTCCTGGCCCAAAGGGACAGAGGCGAAGCAGAGGGGTACAAGCAAGATTGGTGGTACTGTCAGTGCTGAGAAGGTGTAGTGTTCATCTGCGCAGAGACTGGCTCCATAGACAGATCCATCTTACCCTGTGTCATGCATCCCCCCGTGAAGCTTTGATTTGCCCTCTGCCTGCCAGACCAGTTTCATATCTGCCCTCTCTTCATTACTGCTCCCTGACAGCTGTTGGCATCTATGGTTCATGGGATCTCCTGAAACCCCTTGTATCGCACAGCTACCCTGCTCATTGTTGCTTCAGGATTTTGCCAAATTCCTCTTTTGAAGGACAACGTGGACCAAGTTATGGAAGCCACCTCTTTCCCAGGATAATTGGATCTATCCACCTCAGAAGGGTACAGTGCCAACGCTTTGAACTGATGGTGGGAGTGTCCCCTGGGGCACCGAGGCAGGCTGTGACCTTCACGCGCCCACAGAAGCAATGCCACTCTGAGACCTGCACATGACCACAGCTAGCATTCAGCAAACCTCTCCTGCTTCTCAGGAGAGGTCAGCAAGTGCTTTGATGCCACCTGAGGCATGGAAGTCAGCCAGAAAAGGTGACCTGCATGGCCTGTCCCCGTAACCCTCAGATGATACAACAAGGGCTGGGAGGCAGGTTCCTTCAAATGGGTGCTCAGGCACTCAGGTGTTCATTCCTTCCCATCAGCCATCTGAGCCCAGTATTGTATTAGATATGGCAATTCATTCATTCAAGAGCCTCCAGATCCCAGAATAAGGTGCCATCCACACCTTGAGGAGTCTGCCTGAAACCAATATCAGGGGGAAAAAATGCCTTGTTGCAGCACGAGACTTGACAGCATCAACAAAGCAGGCAGGAGCAAGGTGCAAGCAGATGCTCCAGGGACAAAAAGGGGAGACTGGGCCCCTCAGAGCAAAACCACTGGGAAAGGGATGGGCTTTGCCAGAAGGCCAGAAGGTGGCAATCTCCACTCTCCTTTTTTAGCCTGACACTGCTCAGAGCAGCCCAGAGAAGGGGTCAACCCCCTGAGCAGGTGACGGTCCATATTGATTTGGAAATGTTAACCTCACTCAGACCTGGCTTTGCATTGAATAACCCTGTGTTTTTGTGAGCCAGTCCAAGGTTTCTGCCCTAGCTGCTGCAAAACCTCCCTGTCTCAACATTTTGCCATTTAGGACCAAGGAAAGGATGTCTTGGATGTTGAGGCCTGGGATGCTGAGCTCAGCTGAGCGCTACCGAACATCCCAGACGCCCTTTCCTGGCCCTAGCAGGAAGGTGGCTGAAGCTGGGCCTGGCTCCATGCACAGCATTCCCAGCTGAGGGAGGAACAGCTCAATGGCACCGGCTTCTCCCTGTAGGACACAGCTTCAGTGTGTGGCAGAGGGATTTATGCTGGGGAAGGAAGCAGAAGATCCACTATTTCCAGAAGGGCATCTCACAATACGGGGAAGAAAAGGCCAAGGTGTGAATTGTTTAATTTTAGCAAGCTTTGAGGGGTAAAGAGCTGGCTTGGTAACTCTAGGGCCTGTAGACTGTCTACAGAGCAGGGACAGCTCAGGCGGTGGCAGGACAATGCTCCATGTCCCAAAGAGGTGGGTGAGCATCTATGATGTCCGTCTGCTGAAGCTCAGCCTGCAAACTGTGGCAGCCATTGCGGATGCTAGTGTTGTGAACACCACAGCATGTACAACCACCGGAGAGGAGGGTCTCTGCGTGGGGCTGTTCTGAGGCCTCTCCCTTCGTGCCGGTGTGCAGACCACCTGAGGCCTCCTGCTGCCGGTGGGGCTGTGCCCTGGCTCCCACGCGGCCCAGGCACATTCTGCTGATCTCAGTGCAAAGTGCTCCCAGCTTGCTCAGGAAACCAGAGAAGCCAAAGAGGCCTTGGGTGCCTTTGTCATCCCCCAGCGAGAAGTCTTCCCTGCCTTGGCCTCTGCCTCTCAGGTGTTTCTCAGCACTGTCCCTGAGCACTCAGGCCTGCCACAGCACTCTTCACCTGTGGCAATGAAAGCCTCAGAGGGATGTGGGCAAGGCAATAGGTCCCGAAACTCCAACACAGGCCACTGCATGGCCATGCTGCTCTCTGAGCAGGAGCTGCTGGCAGGAGACTAGTGCTCTGTGGCCCATCTAGACAACAAACCCCAGGACAGGGCCCCACTGGCACCCGGGAGCAGGAGCATTGGCCCTTCCTCCACCTCCTCTCCTGCACAGAAGTGGGATTGCACTTTGCCCACCTTTGTGTATCGCTCAGGAGAGATTAGGGGACTGCTGGCCTCCCTGACCTTCTTGTCTGAAATCCTCTGTAATAGGGTATAGTTGTGCTGATGGTCACTTTTTCTTGGACTGTGTGGAGCTGTTCCAGGTGGCTAATGAGATAACACTAGAAATCATGCAAGGAGGATTAGCTTCTCTGACAGGGCCTGCATTCCCGCTGAGACCTCTCTGTCCCTCAGCATCCCACTGTTCCTCTCATGGACGCAGCTCTTACTGTGTTGGCATTAGTGGGAGTTGGAGCATAACTGAAACCAGTGGCGTGGAGACCTGTCAGAATAGGTTAGCCTTTTCAGCAGACCAGAGTCTCCATCCTCAGGTCCCTTAGCAGAGCTGCAGAGCTGCGGCAATGGGAGATATTAAAAGAACAGGAAGTGTAGAAGCCCTTCTTGGCAGCCTGGATGCATGGTACCTGTATATGGAGGAATCCAGGGCCGCACGTCTGTAACGGGAAGGGACTGGAAGCCACTGGACTTCCTGCACGTCTCTGGCTGAGTTTGGCAGAGGGGTCTGCTGGGATCTGTCTGAGAAGGCCAATGCCAGCTTGCCTTTGGTTGGCAATTCCTGGCTTGCACATGCTTGCTGAAGCATGGACTGAGCACATGACGCACAGAAAAGCACCCAAACACTTCCTAACACTGACAAAATCTACTCTTCCTGGTCAGAAAACTCCTAATCCCTCCAAGAGCTGTTGAGATTTTCCCTTAATGTCCCCCTCTGAGCCCAAGGCATTTCCCCATTTCCCTAGGCTGAAAAAGGGAACTTACAGAGAGTATGATTTCTTACCATCAAAATCTTACAGGTTAGAGTGAAAGGATTGTCTGGGCAAGCATGAGGGAGAAATGTGGACACCATATCTGATCTCTGGTCAAGGTAAGAGAAGGATCTGCAAAAGCCATGCTGGGAAGGTGAGATGGCAAGAAAAATCAGGAGCTTCCACAGCACAGTAAGTACTAGCAGGGCTGCTGAGGGGAACAGCCGAGCTGGGTTGAAGGTCTGGGGTCTTGCAGCAAACTAAGAAACTTGTCTCCTGTCCTACAGTGCTGAGCTGATGTGTGACTCTTGCCAAGGGGCACTGAGGCTGAGGATCAGTGAGGGAGGTGGGTCTTTCTGGCAGATCCTATGGGGTATATGAGCTGGATACCGGAGAGACGCTTCACCTTCAGTTCTGCCTGACTGCCCCATGGCAAGATGACCTTGTAGACACTTCTACCGCCAATCAGTTTCTGGATTTCATCACACATACTCCAAGGCCAAGGGCAGTTCTCCCAAGTGAGAGTCATTTCACAGATACCACCTAATGATGACAAAAAAATGTAAATTGCATTGTGGAAATGCTCAGGTGCCTGAAATGTGTCTCAGACTATAAGGAATCAGAAAGCTTCTCTAGGGGCTGTCCAGATTGAAAGAGTACAGCAAGTCCTGATGGTCCCTTGTCTGCTTCTCGTAGGCTTTCCTGGACATGCCTCTTCCTGCTGCACACCCTTCCCGTGGAGCTGAGCGCACTACCAGCAGATCACATTGCACCTGTGGATGATGTCAGCCCAGACACCTGTGCTTGACCTCCAAGCAGGTTGTACGTTACTCACCCTGCAGCAGGGGATCACAAGCAGTGCTAGCTGATAGCCACAGCCAGCATGTCTGATTTGCCCTCTGTCCTTCCTATCCCTTCCCTCTGCTGGGCTATAATCGGGGCTGGAGAGAGCAGCAGAGGGGGAGCACCAGCCCCGCTGCCTCAGAGGTTCTGGTGGACACTTGCATACCTGACGCCTGCTCTGTAGGGGTTGGCAGCAGCACATGTTACAGGAGAGGGAGCGCTCATTTCTTGTTTCATCTTATCCCATAAAAATAGGCAGATTGTTGTTATTTTGATCAGATTAGTCCTCATTTTGGAGGCAGAAACTAAAATATGGGGTTTGTTGTTTAGGCAATATCAGCGTGGGTTATTCCTTGTTCTCTCCAGCAGGGACTCTGCTTTCCACAGCCAGGAAAGCACTTCCCGCTCTGAAATACTCAGGGAGAATCTTCTAAGCACAGTGCAATGAGTAAGAAAATGCTCTCCTTGCCCTGATCCAGGGACTCCCAAGCCTAACAGTACCAGTGTTCAGCCAGTGGAAATAGAGGCAGTGTCACATCCAGAGCTGGAACAGGCTTCCCATTTGGATGACTCTGAAGCAGAAATCCAAGTGGATTGTACTTGCTGGCCTCCACACGATCTCTGCAGAGGCATCCAGGCTGCGCACATTGTAGAACAGCGAGGTGGATTTACTTTTTTCCTTTATCTTTCCTACTCACAGCTATGGTCTTTTCTCCCTCTCCTGGAGAATCATTCCTCAGTTGACAGGAGCTTGCTATAACTTTAGAGCCCTTTGGTGTCAATACATAGTCATCAGGGAGAGGCCAGGAGCAGGAGGGTTAATGGGATCAGAATCAGCTGATTCCAGGGAACCATAATATAGTATCTCTTTCTTTTCTTGCTGGGATTTGGGAGTGACCGCAGTCCTTTCCTAGTAGGACCCTTCCTCACGGGCCATTGCTCAGACACAATGCACCTTGGCCTTTTCATCCCAAGGGAGTAGCTTGGGAAGGTCAACAATTCAAGCTACGTTTCATAGTTTTAGTTCACATGATGGTAAGTCAAAGGGAGGTCAAGGAGGGAGGGGGATACTAACCAAACACCCAATTATGTCCTCTGAAGGGAAAGCCCCTTCCAGTTAGAAGGGAAGTTACACAGCAAGGGAAGGAATGAAAGCCCCAAGTGATTATTTCCAAAATAGATTGGTGTTTGATTTTGCAAGCACACAGGTTCAAGCAAAGCCAATAGAACGCAGTGGAAGTCCCTCTTCTCAGACGTGGTTTATGCTGTCACATCAAACAGATCCACCACGGGCATTTCAAGGTGCTTAGCTTGAACATGGAGAAAACCTGCCATTACATGGTCAGAACTGGTACCACTTTCAGGGGATAGCACAGTGGTTAAGGAAAACATGAGGAAGCAACCTTTTTCAAAAGATAGTGTACACAGCCAGCAAAGTCCAGCTACAAGTCCTTCCTGAGATGTTGCTAGGGCAAACCACAGCCCCACGGCCTGCCTCAGAAAAGTGGTCAGCTGGATTTTTGTATCAAACGTCATCTCCCACTGTGGGAAGACATGAGGCTGCCTAATTGCTGAAGATATCCACAGCAGCAAGGTGTCATTTTTGTTTTTCCACTTTCTGAAGGGAAAGATTCACTGATGCCTTGTCTCCCCTCCAAAAGAAAATAATTCAAGCGATGAGCATGTGCAAGCCATGAAAATGTCACATCAAGCCAGATGATGTTGAAGGAGGCACTGGTTTCCCTGCTATATCACTTTGGCCAGCTATAAGCTAGTCCCTCTAATGAAACAGGCACTTCTTCAGCCCGCTGCTGGCTCACTGACATGAGTGCTGCACCAGGCGAACTCCCCTTTGGGCATTAGCATGCTGCGTTGAGCTTTGCCACCTCCTTTTCTTGGGCTGTCTGTGAGATAAGTGATGGATTTGAAGCCGATTTTCTTGGCGTGCAGAGGCAAAGTGCTGGGGAACCTCGTCCTGCTGTGTTCAGGACTCTTGAGTAAGGAATTAGCAGTACAGATCAAGGCATTGGTCCTGATCTGGAAAGCCCAGGGACAAAGTCAAGTCAAAGTCCTTTAGGTGTCCCTTCTGCTCCCAAAGCTCCTTCTGCTTTTCAGGGGCTGGAGGCAACAGAAAACCCAATGTCGGTCTTAGACCAGGGGTTCACTGCGCTTACAAGCTAAAGGTAGCACTATGCTGAGTTAGGTCCTGCTTTGAGCTCATTAATTTCTAACGGTTTAACTAACAATTAATTAGTTAAACCATTTTAAGGCTGTTTCTCGGGTTTGCATGTACAAGGCTCTACAGTGGAGCGCAGGACAGGGAGAAGTTGCTTTGCAGCCCATCACTTTCCTGCAGCAAGGAGTTTTAACAGGATTATTTTGAAATGTGCTTGCTGGCTGCATGCTGAGAGCCCTCCCAGTGTCCTCCTCTGCGCACCCCAATTCTCTGCAGTTTGGCACTACGACAGTTATGAAACCTATGAGCAGCTGCTAATGCCCTGATTGAGAAAACAGGTCAATAGCATGGTCTGTCTGTAAGAAAAGGGGGATAGGGCTGAAGCTGGGAAGGCAATATCTAGGGGCAGGATTTCCCCACATTGAATTAGCTTCAGTCCCAGAACAGCATTTGACTGGTGGAGTCACTGGGGATCCCCAATGCGGGAGAAGCCTTCATGTCTGGCTGGCTTCGCCCATTCTCCGCAGGGCTCAGCTGCTCTGCTGTGCGGTCTGTCCCCTGCAGTCCTGGCCTTCCCCGTGGGACTGGATCGTCTCCGGGCTGGAGAGACGCCCTGTCCACACCCGGACCAACACACGCACATCTGGAGCCCTGCTTGTTGCTGGAGAGCCCTCTCTCGTTGTGGGGCTCCGGAGGCAGATGGCCGAGACTTTCACTCTTCTTGGGCCGAGGAAAATACACGTTTAAAGCTTCCTGCAAAGAAAGTAAGAAAAAGCCATAAAATGAGAGCAGCCCTTGCCAACCCCGTCTGTCCTCTACTTACGTCAGCCCTTTCTGATTCCTGCCAGCCAGCTACATGAATGAGTTTTCATCTGCGGAGCAAAGAAATGCTCGTTTGCTTTGCGGCCCCATGACCTCCCTCTTGCAGAGAGGGTGCGAAAGGCGCTGCTCCCCAAACCCAGGGCCGTGCCGCCTCCCCACCGGCGGGGCTCACCGCGAGCCGCGGCTCCGGGCCTC